AGGGTGTCGGGCTGCTGAACACAGGGCACAGAACCGTCCCAATGCTTAGGAACCCTAAGCCCTGACCCCGAAAACCAAAACCCCAAACCCTGAACCCTTCCAGATAGGGGTATTACCCTCAAAATACGATATAGTCCTTATAAAGGGAACCCCAAAAGGGGTACACCCTAAACCCTAAAGCCTGAACACTGAACCCTGAACCCTAAACCCTAAACCCTGAACCCTATATAAACCCTAAACGCCCCAAACCCCAAACCCCGAACCCTCTGTAAACCCTAAAAGCCCCAAACCGTAAACCCTGAACCCTGTATAAACCCTAAAAGCCCGAAACCCTAAACCCTAAACCCTACATAAACCCTTAAAGCCCTAAACCCTAAACCCTAAACCCTAAACCCTGAACCCTGAACCCTGAACCCTAAACCCTAAACCCCAATTCAGCCCACGGTTCTGGGCATGGTCCGAGATGGCTGAAAGAAGCCGGGCCAGCCTCGGCTTTGGGGGTTTGGGGTTTAGGGTTTAGGGCTTGGGGTTTGGGGTTTAGGGTTTAGGGTTTAGGGTTTAGGGTTTGGGGTTTAGGGTTTAGGGTTTAGGGTTTAGGGTTTAGGGTTTAGGGTTTAGGGTTTGGGGCTCTAGGGTATGTAGGGTTTCGGGCTTTTAGGGTTTAGGGCTAAGGCTTTGGGCTCTAGGGCATTCAGGCGCAGGGCTTTTAGGGTTTTGGGGTTTAGGGTTTAGGGTTCAGGGCATTTCGGGTATTTAGGGCTTCGGGCTTTAGGGCTCGGGCTTTAGTCTTTGGGATTTAGGGTATTTAGGGCTTCGGGCTTTTGGAGCTTAGGGTTAGGGCTTTGGGGTATTTAGGGCGTTTCGGATTTGGGGTTTAGATCAAGTTTATGGGGTTGGGGTTTTAGGCTTGAGCAAGCTTTTGTTTTATTGCTTGGGGGGCGGGGGGGGGGGGTGAGGGGTCTTGGCTTGGGGTTTGGTGAACCCTTCCACGAGCCCCCCTGAAATCCGAAAAACTCCTCGCACAAACGGGCTAAATCCCCAAACCCTGGACCCTAAACCCCAAACCCTGAACCCCAAACCCTAAACCCTAAATCCTAAATCCTAAACCCCTAAACCCTAAACCCTGAACCATAAATCCCCCCAAATCCAAGGAACCATGGAGCCAAGTTCTTGATGTTCATCGATCTGAGATGCTCCAGGTACCTTACTTGGAGGGTCGGAGGACTTAGTAAGCAGTTAGGGTTTAGGGTTTAGGGTTTAGGGTTATAGAGTTATAAGTAGGATAACTCCAATTAGGGTCCCTTTTGGGGCTGTAAGTCTACTTAGGTACCTTGCCGCTGGGCTTGGGGTTCACCTACCCGAGGGCTCAAAGGCCCCAAAGAATTTCGGGTTGAGGGTTTTGGGTATTGGGTATTGGGTTAAGGGTTTTGGGCTGAAGATTTCGGGTTCAGGTTTAGGGTTTAGGGTTTATGCAAACGGTCATGCGGACTGTCACGAAGCGAGACACGAGAGGGGGTCCCAGACGGCCCAGCCTCCTGACTGTAAGGGGGGCGGCCTAACCCCTGAGTTTAGAGTTTACGGTGTAGGGGGTCTGCGAACCTTCTGGAACCATGCAAAGGGAATGGAGTATGCAGTGGTGCGGCAGAGGCACGTGTCCCTGTTTCGGGGAATATGGAGTGCACGAAACCCTAGAGACCTGAATTGCATCCCCAAAAGCCCAGGCAAGCGCCCAGGGCTAAGCCACACATCGCCAAACCTCAACACAATCCCAGCCCGCCTCACCAGCAGGAGCACGACAGGCTGCTGTAGCGTCTCCTGGATCCACAAACCCCCAAATCTAAGGGTAGCTGCAGCAACCCATATATACCCCTTCTATACCCCAGAAGAACCTTCAGAACCCATTTAAAGCAGGTAGGGGACCATATGAAGGGACCAACCCTTAGACCAAAACCTAAACCCTAAACCCTAGAGGCTAAACCCTAAACCCTAAACCCCTAAAGTGTCCTGGCGAACACGCCCAGCACGGCGGTCAAGAAGGAGGGGCAGCTGGGATCCCTACAGACTCAGACTTCATGCACCCCTCTTTCTGAGAGTTTAGGGTTTAGGGTTTAGGGTTTAGGGTTTAGGGTTTAGGGTTTAGGGTTCAGGGTTCAGGGTTTAGGGTTTAGGGTTTAGGGTTTAGGGTTTAGGGCTCAAACCCCACATTTCCTAAGCCCTAAACTAGCAAAAGTCGGATCCTGTGGCGACACGATGAGCAGGTAGATGGCGAGGTGCACGCTGTACTTCTGCACCCAGAGCTTGTCCGTGTGCGGGAGTGCCTGCCTGAAATGCAAATGAGCAAGCTCCGGCATGCCTTGGGGGGCTTAAACCCTAACCCCTAAACCCCTAAACCCCTAAACGCTAAACCCCAAACCCCTAAACCCTAAACCCCTAAACCCCTAACCCCTAACCCCTAAACCCTAAACCCTAAACCCTACACCCTAAACCCTAAACCCTCAACCCTCAACCTCTGGCAAGTGTGTTCTGGGAATCTTCCGTCTTCGATCTGTGGCTTCGGGTTTTGAAGCTCAAGATGCTAGAGACATACGGCATGGACAGTAAAGACATCACCCACAAGAAGTCTGAGTACCTAGGCTGCCCAGTAACCAAGGCTTACAAAGGGTGCCCGTTTTTGCTTAAAGGGGTTTATAAGGGAACCTAAACCCCCCAAAAAGGGAATGAGGGTACTACTGGACATCCTAGGTACTTGGTAGCACAGTAACCACATTATGAGAAGGGCACCTTTTTTTGGTGTTGGTTACTTTACAAGGGAACCTTGAAAAAAACCGTGGAAAAGGGTACCACTGGGCTACTAAGAGTATCTTCAAGCTTCGATGACCCGTCTGGAAACTCAAGGAGCTCAAAAAACTCCAGGTGATACTCTCCATGCTGTCCAAGACTTTTTTTGGGGCGGGGGGATTTTCAATCTTCAACCTCAGGTTCGAGCCAAACCCTAAACCCTGAACCCTAAACCCTACACGCTGCTTGCTGATTGTGACCAAGATGGTGTACGTATGTGTACGTTCACATGATAGAGCCGTTAGCTTTTCCTCATCACACTCGAAACTCACCCACAACCCCTCATTAAAGAAATGTGTCGCTTTACTTGATACACCGGATACTGCCTCACAACTTTTGCATCTGATGGGATCTAGGGTGGTCATAGCTCCTACGATTCTACAGCGATTTCAATAGCGAGCAATTAATCTAGAATGTCCTGACGGTTCAAAATGATGTGATAGTCAGTGTCGCCGGTCGCTCACACGATGCCAGCGTTTTGCTGATTAATGTTCAGGCTTTTTCATCAGCCGTCACCTCTCATGTGGTCTTAAGCGATTCTTTAAAGCAACTCCACGAGTTTGCGGTACGTAGACTACCCCCTATAAACCCTAAACCCTAAACCCTAAACCCTAAACCCTAAACCCTAAACCCTAAACCCTAAACCCTAAACCCTAAACCCTAAACCCTAAACCCTAAACCCTAAACCCTCCACAAGTGTCAGCTCTGGTGTGCTCGTTCGCCACTCGCTGAATGAGCTGATATGAATTTGGTTTTTTCTTTCTTGTATCCCCAAAAGGACCACTCGGTATATACACTCACCAATATTAAAAAGGAACCTTCTATACACACAGTAATATAAACCCTGCTTAATATACTGAAGGTCAAGTTGCTTGTCAGAAGTTTGTCGGTATCCATGCACAACTAACCGTTTCACTATATGCCCATACTTAAGGCAGCTACTGGTATCAAACCTTTTTGACAAATCTCGTGCTAGTTCATTCTTCGTATCTCTTGTTCTTGACTTTCGAACAGTATTTCGTGTCTCACGTACTGAACCTTGAAACTGACCCGAAGCCCTCAACCCCAAACCCTAAACCCTAAACCCCCAAAAGTGTACCACTGGCTAGCGGCCAAGATAAGGCCAAGTATCGTCAGCCTTTGCAAGACGCTCTCGGGCTTCGACTCTCGGAATTTCCGCGCATGCCCCCTCACCTGCGTGGACGAACAATCGGGGTTCAGGGTTTAGGGCGGGGTGACTAAGTATGGTGCACGATGAACCACAGATACCATTTCGATCTCCAGGTCTGCTTGAACATCGAGATTCGGGTTTAGGGTAATATCGGGTTTAGGGTTTAGGGTTCAGGGTTCAGGGTTCAGGGTTTAGGGTTTAGGGTTTAGGGTTTAGGGTTTAGGGTTTAGGGTTTAGGGCTTTGGGTTTGCCATGCAGGAACAACACTGCATTGCTCAGGGTAGGTTTCAGAAGGAAACTCAGACCCCGCAGACACGATACAGGGCCCCCCCGGGCCTCCTACTTGAAGCTTCATTGGTTGTTTAGGGTTTAGGGTTTAGGGTTTGGGGGTTTAGGGTTTAGGGTTTGGGGTTTGGGGTTTCGGGTTTAGGGTTTAGGGTTTAGGGTTCAGGGTTTAGGGTTTAGGGCTTGGGCAAAGGGATATAGACCCTTAGCTCAGGGCATGATGCAATTACCCTACATACAGCCCTGCTAAATACCCGCGAACCCTAAACCCGAAACCCTAAACCCTGGCGGGTCCACAACAGACCCGAGCAGGGTTTAGGGTTTAGGGTTTAGGGTTTAGGGTTTAGGGTTTAGGGTTTAGGGTTTAGGGTTTAGGGTTTAGGGTTTAGGGTTTAGGGTTTAGGGTTTAGGGTTAGGGTTTAGGGTTTAGGGTTTAGGGTTTAGGGTTTACGATTTAGGGTTTAGGGTTGAGGGTTTTATACGATCAGGAGAGCACCCTACATGTGCGCGCGCTCTTGCATGCTGGCTCTGCGTCCACGGTCAACGCTGGCACGTCCACATCAAACCCTAAACCCTAAACCCTAAACCCTAAACCCTAAACCCTAAACGCCAAACCCTAAACCCTAAACCACATCAGTGAAGCAAATAAGATGGCACACGTGAAGGAAAGTGCAAGAATTAATGCACAAGTTCTAACTCAAGACCCTGCGATCCCCAAAAGGCCCCTCTACAAGCAGATCTCAAAATCAACAGCTGTGAGGCTAGGGTTTAGGGTTTAGGGTTTAGGGTTTAGGGTTCAGGGTTCAGGGTTCAGGGTTCAGGGTTCAGGGTTTAGGGTTTAGGGTTTAGGGTTTAGGGTTTACGGTTTAGGGTGTAGGGTTTAGGGTTTAGGGTTTAGGGTTTAGGGTTTAGGGTTTAGGGTTTAGGGTTTGGGGTTTGGGGTTTGGGGTTTAAGGTTTCGGGTTTCGGGAGTCGGGCCTCAGGGCTTAGCGTGTGTAAGTTTAGGACTAGGGTTTAACAAACTAGGCTTCGTGGCCACCCCAAACTTTCCCCGAGCCCTGAGCCCTAAAGCCTAAACCCTGAACTTTCCCTAAACCCTAAACCCTAAACCCTAAACCCTAAACCTGAAACCTTCGGTGGACCTTCGGATGCTCAAGCACCGTGGAGAACACATCAGGGACCTCGGAGTCGCTTTAGGGTTTAGGGTTTAGGGTTTAGGGTTTAGGGTTTAGGGTTTAGGGTTTAGGGTTTGGGGTTTGGGGTTTGGGGTTTGGGGTTTGGGGTTTGGGGTTTGGGGTTTGGGGATTGGGGTTTGGGGTTTGGGGTTTGGGGTTTGGGGGTTGGGGGTTGGGGGTTTGGGGTTTGGGCTTTGGCTTTGGGCTTTGGGGTTTAGGGTTTATAGGGTTTCAGGATTGAGGGAAGGGGACCGCGTATCGGTTGGAGGGATTCGAGTATTTAGGCTATGGCCGAAGCTTTACGGAGATTCCCGTCGGTCCTTTAACATCCCCCCCAAGGCCGCAGGCTTCTAAAGTTAGCTAGTATGGGCCCTTGAAAAGGCCCTTCTATACCCCTTTTTGTACTCTCTGCAATCTCCCATACATCAGAACCCTGTAAAGGAGGTAAGGGACCACATTTAGGGTCCATGCAACTACCCCGTAGAACAACCAAAGTCCTAAGTAACTGAGGAGAGGTTGTGAAGAGCCCGTTGAAGCTCTTAGCTCTTGTGCCTCTGCCGAGAAGGCATCACAGGCGACCCTAAACCCTGAAACCCAAACCCTAAAACCTTAGCCCATCACCTGTTAGGGCTCAAGGTCTGGATTCCCACCGGTTCCCTAAACCCTAAATCCTAAACCCTAAACCCTGAACCCCTGCGAGACTTGTTGCTTGCCTTCAGGGGCCACCACCAAACTCAAAAAAGGAAGGGTTGAGGGTTTAGGGCTTGGGGTTTGGGGTTTTGGGTTTTGGGTTTAGGGTCTAGGATTTAGGGATGAGAGTTTGGGGTTGGGGTTGGGGTTGGGGGGGGGGAGGGGGAGGGGGGGGGGGGGGGGGGGGGGGGGGGGGGGGGGGGGGTCTTGGGCCAAGTTTGCTGTGAGGTTTTGGTCCCTTAAGCTTTGGGGCACCCCTCAGAAGGGAGAAGCCACGTACACTAGGGGAGCCAGACTGGTCTGTCTTCGAATATTACAGGAGATACAGGCTACACCCATTGTCGAGCTGTGTTCAGAGCTATAGGCCCTAAAAACCCTTAACCCTTTAACCCTTTAACCCTAAGCCCTTTAGGCTCCTCAATGTCTGACCACCCTTGCAACCGGTGGGAACGGCAAAGCAGTCCTGGATGGACTTCCGGAAGAAAAGATGCCAAACTTGTACCCCTACGAATAAGGATTCCGAAGCATGGGCCCTTCATTTGGGTCCCCTCTTACAAAACCCTTATATACACTACGCAGAATAAGGGCCCATGAAGGCCAAATAAGAAGGCACTAAATTGGGCCTTAGCTTGGTGCTGTTTTTTTGTTAAACCCTAACCCTAAACCCTAAACCCTAAACCCTAAACCATAAACCGGGGGGGGGGGGGAATCCCAGCACTGGTGCATGCTTGCAGCAAGTTGGGGAGCTTGGGGCTTTAGAGGCTTTAACGAGGTTTAGGATGTGGGGAGTGTTAGGGTCCATTGGCTGTTCCAAATTCTAAAGCCCTAAACCCTGAACCCCCTAAACCCTAAACCCCAAACCCTAAACCCCAAACCCTAAACCCTAAACACTAAGCAGGCCTGAAGCTCGCAAGGCCCACAAGACCCGAAGAACGCCCAGGGGCCAGTTTGTCCCAGATCCAGTCCCGGGCTGCGCGGATTGAAGGGAAATAGGGTTTAGGATTTAGGGGTTTCGGGGTTTTGGGGTTTTGGGGTTTTGGGATTTAGGGGTTTTGGGGTTGTGGGGTTTTGGGGTTTGGGGGCTTGGGGGCTTGGCGGCTTGGGGGCTTGGGGGTTTAGGGGTTTAGGGTTGAAGATTCAGGGTAGAGGGTTTACGGGCTTAGGGGGTTTAGAGCTTAGGGATTCAGGGTAAAGGGTCTAGGAATTCAGTTAAGGGGTTTAGGGTTTCGAGTTCAGGGTTTAGGGTTTGGGGTTCGCGGCTTAGGGGTTCAGCCTTTCAAAATTAGGGTTTAGGGTTTATAGGGTTTAGGGTTTAGGGCTTAGGGTCTCGGGAGCATTTTGGCCTTCTCAAAGATCTGGCGGGGGGGGGGGGGAGGTGTCTCTGGGCAATGATTCGTTCAACCTGAAAGAAGAAACAAGAAAGCAGAATCTTGAAACCCTAAACCCTTGGGCTCAGGGTTTTAGGTTCCCACGCATAAAGTGGGGGTTTGAGGTTCAGGGTTCCTAGGCTCTCAACGCTTTGCCCAAGGTGATTGGCTCTTGGACAGGCCTGTACACCTGGACCTCCAGCCAGAAAGTTTAAGGCAGGCCTAAACCCAAAACCCGATACCCTAAACCCCTAAACCCCTGAACCCCTAAACCCCGAAAAAAAACGCTGAACCCCTACACCACCTCAACCCCTAAACCCCTTAACCCCTACACCCCTGAACCCCTACACCCCTGAACCCCTGAACCACTGAACCCCTAAACCCCCAAACCCCTGAACCCCTAAACCCCCTCAAGCCCTAAAGCCCTAAACCCCTAAATCTCTGGGCCCCTGAACCCCTGAACCCCTGAACCCCAAAACCCTAAACCCTAAACCCTAAACCCCTGATCCTAAGCCTCAAATTCTCTGAGCTCTGAGAGACCTCGATTCCAAGCCCCACAAAACCCTTCAAGCCTGAACCCCCAAGAACCGGGAGCCCTAATTTGGGGTGTATCAGGGTTCAGGGTTCAGGGTTCAGGGTTTAGGGTTTAGGAGGGTTTAGGGTTTAGAGCTTTAGGGTTTAGGGCTCAGAAAAACCTAAACTCTAAACACCTTAGACCCCTAGATCCCGAAATCCTAAACATCTTAGACCCCTAGACTCCGAAACCCTAAACATCTCCTAAACCCTAAACCCTAAACCCTAAACCCTACACCTAAAACACTAAACCCTAGGGACCATGTTGAGGGACCATGAAATTACCCTGAGAGGCCTAGACCCCCTCGGGACCCCTGAGCCCTAAACCCTAAACCCTAAAACCCTAAACCCTAAACCCTAAACCCGCAACTCCCAGGACCCTAAACCCTAAACCCTGAAGACCCTAAACCCTGAAGACCCTAAACCCTAAACCCCAAACCCCAAACCCTAAACCCTAAACCCTAAACCCCAAACCCTAAACCCTAAACCCTCAGGACCCCTGAGCCCCGTCGCCTCGCTTTGGCATGGGATGCTCCGGCAGCGGCTGCTGATGCTCATGGCTTTGGAGGCTTGGGGGTTAGGGTTTAGGGTTTAGGGTTTAGGGTTTAGGGTTTAGGGTTTGGGGTTTGGGGTTTGGGGTTTGGGGTTTGGGGTCGGTTTGGGGTTTGGGGTTTGGGGTTTGGGGTTTGGGGTTTGGGGTTTGGGGTTTGGGGTTTGGGGTTTGGGGTTTGGGGTTTGGGGTTTGGGGTTTGGGGTTTGGGGTTTGGGGTTTGGGGTTTGGGGTTTGGGGTTTTGGGGTTTGGGTTTGGGGTTTGGGGTTTGGGGTTTGGGGTTTGGGGTTTGGGGTTTGGGGTTTGGGGTTTGGGGTTTGGGGTTTGGGGTTTGGGGTTTGGGATGTAGGGTTTGGGGTTGAGGGTTTGGGGTTTAGGGTTTGGGGTTTAGGGTTTATAGGAAGGTAGAGTTGAGGGTTTAGGGGTTTAGGGACAAGGAATATTCTGAGCTGGGAGGGTTTGGGGGTGTCGTGCTGAAGGCTTGCAGAAGCTGCCCACCATCTTCTGCTGAACTGCGCAAGCCCTAAGCCGCTTCCTGCATAGGTTGGCCTGTATACCCCTGTGAAAAGCATTACCCTCAACCCTAAACCCTAAACCCTAAACCCTAAACCCTAAACCCTAAAACCTAAACATTACTGTATGGGGCCCCTTTTGAGCGACAAGGTGGAGACCCCTAGACCCCAGCACTGTTCTCAAGCAATGGTGCCCTGTCAAGCACGTCTACACTCCTAAAACCCTAGACCCTATAAACCCTAAACCCTAAACCCTCAACTTCTTCGGTCATTCTTGGGTTTATGTAAGGTTCTCATGTTGAAAAGTAGGGTTTACCACTGGCTAGGGTGTCGGGCTAGACTTTTGATAGCATTTGGAATTTCCACCGATACTTGGAGCTTCATTCGCGGTGGCTTACAAGGAAAGCTGGTGGAGGTCGGCTACAGCCCCAAATGGCGTTCACATGGGCTTTGGGGGTTTAGAGTGCCGGGGTGGCCCGAAACCCTACTAAACCCTTAACTTTCAGGGAGTGGCGGTGAAGAGAAGGGAAAGGAAGGCTAGGATTTGGGGCTAAGGGTCTAGGGTTTAGGCGGGTTTAGGGCTTAGGGTTTTTTCGGGTGTAGATGGCTTCTGCGAGAGGTTCGAGAAGCTTTGGGAGCACATAAAAGAAACACCCAAGCCTCCAACCCTGAATCCTAGACCCCCTAAACCCAAAAACCCAAAAACCCAAAAACCCAAAAACCCAAAAACCCAAAAACCCAAAAACCCAAAAACCAAAAAACCCAAAAACCCAAAAACCCAAAAACCCCAAAACCCAAAAACCCAAAAACCCAAAAACCCAAAAACCCAAAAACCCAAAAACCCAAAAACCCAAAAACCCAAAAACCCAAAAACCCAAAAACCCAAAAACCCAAAAACCCAAAAACCCAAAAACCCAAAAACCCAAAAACCCAAAAACCCAAAAACCCAAAAACCCAAAAACCCAAAAACCCAAAAACCCAAAAACCCAAAAACCCTAAAACCCTAAACCCTAAACCCCAAACCCTACAAACCCTACGGCAACAAAAGCAGCCCATTTTGTCTCATCCGCAGCCGCTCCGCAGGGAAATCATATCTTCTGCCTCTTGGAGGGGCGCTCTGGGGCCTCCAGGCACTTTAGGGTTTAGGGTTTAGGGTTTCGGGTTTAGGGTTTAGGGTTTAGGGTTTAGGGTGTAGAGTTTAGGGCTTAGGCTGTAGGAGGCGTCTGGGTGCAAGGTTTACGGGTTTGGGGTGGAAGGAGTTTAAGGGTCTCGGGGCTTGAGGTTCATTGGACGGTTTAGGGTTAAGGGGTTTAGGGTTTAGGGTTAGGGATGGTGCTGAAGATTTCAGATCGGGTGTAAGGTTTAGAGTAGTCGTTCGGCCGCAAGGGGTCTTCCAGGCGTTGGGTGTGGGGCTCCGGACGCACTGGGCGCAAGGGGACTTGTAATTTTATTTCATATATATTTATGTATATGTATATATACATGTACATATATATATATATATTTATTTATTCATTTTGGTTTTTCTTTTTTGGGGGGAATTGGGCCTAGGCATGTGGATACGGGTTTAGGGGTTCAGGGTTTAGAGCTTAGGGATTAGGGCTTGAGCAGAAATGTCTCCAGAAGCGAAGATGAAAAGGGGGGGTGATTTAAATCACGTACTGGAGTGCGCAAAGGGAACCTACAATAATAACCCTTAACCCCTAAACCCCTAAACCCCTAAACCCCTAGACCCTAAACCCTAAACCCTGAACCCTGAACCCTAAACCCTAAACCCTAAACCCTAAACCCTAAACCCTAAACCCTAAACCCTAAACCCTAAACCCAAAACCCTAAACCCTAAACCCTACACCCTAAACCCTAAACCCTAACCCTAAACCCTGTGCACTAGACCCACCTTCTCCGGCTCCAGGGGCCCTTCGCACGTCTGCGTCTTCAGGAACCAGGCGGCATACCGCCTGGCGCAGACAAGGGGCCCAATGGGCCCTGGGATGACCAGGGCTTAGGGTTTAGGGTTTAGGGTTTAGGGTTTAGGGTTTAGGGTTTAGGGTTTAGGGTTTAGGGTTTAGGGTTTAGGGTTTAAGGTTTAGGGTTTAGGGTTTAGGGTTTAGGGTTTGGGGTTCAGGGTTTAGGGTTTAGGGTTTAGGGTTTAGGGTTTTAGGGTTTAGGGTTTAGAGTTTAGGGCTTAGGGCTTTTAGGTGATTTTAGGGTTATTGGTTTAGGAGTTAGGGTGCAGGGTTTTTAAGGACTTCAGGGCTGTGGGCTTCCCTCAACCCGCAGCGCTAAACCCTCAAACCAGCAAACCGAAATCCTAAACCTCGTCGAACTCACTTAGAAGGTTTTTGCTAGGGTAGCTAGGCATTCAGTTTGAGGGCTTAGGGCTTTTTGGAAACTACTTGGTGCACGGCCCGTTAAACGCCGTGTAGGATTCGAAGAATTGGCATCTCGTAAATTAGTGATTTTACAGTGCGTTTGTGCTGTTTCCAAGGAATGTCGCTGAAAAAGTAGTGTTTAACATCGCTCTGAAACTACTTCGTCGAGGCCTATTTTCACACAATCGTTCGCAGCTTGTTGAGGAAGTCTGCTGGGCTCAGGTAGCCTTCGTGGAAAACATGCATACGCCACATCCACTGGCGCACGGTCTTTGGAACCTCCTCATTGAGGGCGCCTTGGACTTTGAGCACCAAGTGCTTCGGCAAGAACTGTTTAAGACCTTCCCAGCTCCTGTCGATGCACTGCGTCCCGGCAAGAGCACTTATGGCTGTACAGGCTGGGGAGTATGGCCGGGTGAAAACTCTTAACTGGTGAGTCACAGGTTCAACTGGAAGGCCACGGGCTTCGGCTGCGGACTGCCACGCAACGTTTCCATCTGGGAAGATGCAGCGTTTTCTGCTTCTTCCTTTGACCAAGTCGAAGAGTTTGGAGGATGCCACCTATGGGTGAAGATTGGCTTAGGAAGAGGATTTCAGGGCCAACACATCCTAAGTATAACTTTTCATAAAAGCAACGGGGTTGATGGGCCCTTACAATTGGGTTAGAGCTACAGTTATTGGTGTGTGACAAAATGGGAGCCTGCTGGGACGACTCGGTCGGCGGTCTGGACTTGGGAAGAGTAAGAACAGGTCGTTATCCGCGGGCGCCTCCTCCATTGGCTGGTCGAACTCCCAGGTTTCGTCACCAAAATCGTCGATCTCGAGAAGAGAATGCTCACCAAACCCCCGGAGCATTCGAGAAGTCAAAACCTGATGCGCTGCTCGAATCAAAGTGTTCGACACGCAAGCCGACTGAAGTTTCAACCACCTGCCCAGGAGAGCTCGCCGAAGTGACACCAGAACCTTCCATGGCAAGCGACCCTGTCGGCTTTCATTCCACATCGCGTATCGGACAACACGCCCCGCAGCGTCCGCGCGAGGGAGCGTCCAGGCCACATGGCACTCGTCAAGCTCCAGGAAGCTGAAGCGCCAGAAGCGCTCCAGAGAGGCCCAAGCAGCCTCGCCAGACAGGCGCAGCAACAACACCAGCATGAGCGCTTGCGAGACTTGCCATCGCAGTGATGGTACTTCAGGCAGATCCATGCTTGCACAGGAGGAAGAAATGCCGAAGGTACACGTAGATTAACAAAAGCAAGTCTTGCCCAACATTGCTGGCATCTTGCGCGTACTTATGCACGTGATTATCCCCCCCCCCCTGCTACCCCGCAGAGCAGCCAGCCAGACCAACACAGCAGCAAGATTCGCAAATGGCAGCTCCGGCCCACGGCGTTCTACGGGCCGTGAGCCAACTACTTGGAGGTTCATGGCACTTACTAACCAATTATAACTGTACTTCTAAGACACTTGCAAGCCCCTTAAGCCCCCAAATATGGCTATAAGTACAGTCATAGGTACAGTTGTAACTGAAAACTGGTTTAAAAAGTACCATGAACCCCATGAACCCCCAAGTAGGGCTCAGGCCTTGGGCTTGCGAGGTTGAAGGGCTTTTGAGATAGGGATGATAGGGCTTCGGGTTTCGGGTTTAGGGTTTAGGGTCTAGGGTCCAGGGCTTTTGGGGTTGAAGGGGTTTGCGTATAGGGTTTAGAGTTTGCGGGTTTAGGGGTTTAGGGGTTTAGGGGTTTGGGGGTCGAAGGCTTTAGGGTTCAGGGGTTTAGGGCTTAGGATTTGATGAGGGCTTGAGAAAGTCGCGGTATTCAAGCTTCTTGACACTTAGGGGCTTCAGGTTTTGGGGGTTCAGGGTATGGATCCCAGCGCATCATAGCCTGGCCAAAATCTGAAGGCTAACGTCCTGAGCCCCTAAACCCTAAAACCCTAAGCCCTAAACCCTAAACCCCAAACCCTAAAACCCCCAGCCCTAAACCCTAAACCCGAAACCCGAAACCCGAAGCCCTAAACCCTAAGCCCCAAGAAGCCCTAAGCCGTGGGGTATGGCCTCAGCGAGCGCTCGCGCACGTGGTGCCGAATAGCATC